GTATATCAGTGTCTTAGAACACAGCATAATAATTGGTGTTCTTGATGGTTGCTGTGAGTCATCAAGAAACAAAAAGTAAATTATATTTACTATTCTTTATCTAAGAAGTCAAGGCAGAATGCAACCCTGTCACAAATTTTCTAGGATAAATAATTAAGTACATTTGGATGCCTTAAAAGGGATTAGGTTAGTTTTTCTGAAAAACTTAAGTGGAAAATTTACTTATTTCCTAATGTCAGCTAATTCAAGTGCTCCAAAGGGGAAAAATGAAGTATTGGATTCTAAATTTTCATCCAGAGGAAATTCCATCCTGTGTGTCCATTAACAGATGATATTTGTTAAATGTTCACATGGATATGGTGTTGTACTACTGTTAAAATTAGTGCATTTTAACTTCCATTAAAATATTGTAACCAGCCGGGTGTGGTGGCTTATGCCTATAATCCCAGCAATTCAGGAGGTTGAGTTGGCAGGATAGCTGGAGCCCAGGGGTTCAAGAACAGCCTGGGCAATGCAGCAAGACCCTGTCTCTAAAAAAATGAAAAAAGTTATCTGGGCATGTGACTGTAGTCCCAGCTACTCAGGAAGCTGAGGCAGGAGGATTGCTTGAGCCCAGGATTTCAAGGCTACAGTAAGGTATGATCATACTTCTGCATTCTAGCCTGAGTGACAGAGTGAGACCCCATTTTGAAAAAACTTTGGAAAAAAAAGTGTTGCAACCAAAAGCTTATTTGCTATTAAGGGACTGAAAATTTCAGTCTCAGATTTGTTCAATTGGTGCAATACAGGTTATTTGCATACGGTAAAGAAATTGGCAAAGTTCATTACCTAATGAGAACAGGCTAGGTTGTTTAGATCCACGGTCCCACTGTAAACAACAAATTCTAGATTTTTAAAAATTCACCTTAAACGTATTTGAAAAGATGATCAAGGAACTTCCAGGTTAAATTTGGGGGGAAAGCCTGGCCCAGAGAGGTAAGTAGATGATCAGATCACTAAAACCAATTTTGCCTTTAAGACATTTGCTGAGACACAAATGGGCTTTGGTTCATCAACTCAAAAAGCAAGGGGAATGGAAGTCAAGGCCCAAAGTGTGTAAAAGTTTGAAGTCTTAGAGAAGTTGCTCCATGCATTAAGTAGTGACTACAAAGGACTGTACCACTAGAACCTGCTCCCTGTCCTCCAAACCCCAGGGTACTGCAGAACAAGCTGTCTTGGCAGTGAACAGACTAGAAAATGAAAAGGAAAAAGGAAGGAAGACACATCCCT